CAGGGCTCCGTCCCCCTCAGAGGGAAGAAGTTCTTCCTCACATTCAGACTGAACTTCCTATGCTTCAGTTTGTGCCCATTGCCCCTTGTCCTATCTCTTGGCACCACTGGAAAGAGTCTGGCCCCATCCTCTTGACACACACCCTGAAGGTATTTATAGGCATTTATAAGGTGCCCATAGGACCTTTTAGATCCTATAGGCATATAGGCTTATAGGTCCCCATATAGGGGAATGAAGGTCCCCATAGGACCTTGTAGTTCCTATAGCCATACAGGCTTATAGGTCCCCATATAGGCATTTGTAAGGCCCCCACTCAGGTGTACAGAGGGTGACAGGACTAGCCGCTATCTGCAGCGCCGGGCAGGAGCATCAATACGTTGCTGAAGCAGACGCCAGAACGGCACTATTCTGGTTCACGCAGAATTATTTAGCTGCCAGTCCACCAGGACGCCCAGGTCCCTCTCCACAGAGCTGCTCTCCAGCAGATCAACCCCTGGCCTGTACTGGTGCATGGGGTTATTCCTTCCCACGTGCAGGACCCTGCATTTGCCCTTGTTGAATTTCATCAGGTTCCTCTCTGCCCAACTCTCCAGCCTGTCCAGGTCTTGCTGAATGACAGCCTTCCGGTGTATCCACCATTGCTCCCAGTTTTGTGTCATCAGCAAATTTGCTGAGGGCACGTTCTGTTCCCTCATCCAGGTCATTGATGAAGAAGTTGAACAAGACTGGGCAGAGTACTGACCCCTAGGGAACCCCACTAGCTACAGGCCTCCAACTGGACTCTGCAACAGTGATGACAACCCTCTGAGCTCTGCCATTCAGCCAGTTCTCAATCCACCTCACTGTCCATTCATCTGGCCCACACTTCCTGAGCTTCCAGATGAGGATGTTATGGGAGACAGTGTCAAAAGCCTTGCTAAAGTCAAGGTGGACAACATCTACTGCTGTCCCTTCATCGACTCAGCTGGTCATGCCATCATAGAAGGCTATCAGATTGGTCAAGCTTGATTTCCCCCTGGTGAATCCATGTTGACTACTCCTGATAATCTTCTTTTTACCCCCGTCCCGACTGAGGCAGCCCCTGAGGAGCGAAGTTCTGTGGAGACAGCTCATAGTAAAAACTAACGAGTGTAGCTCATTGCAAAAATAAAAAAAGGGGGGTGGAGTTACTGGACATCCCGCAGGAATAACTCGCGACACCTGCTTCAGAAAGATTTACATGGCGTCGATAGGATGCAGGCGGGCTCTGGAGATCGCCGGCATGGAACTTTCCGAAGCTGGCGAAAGGGGAGCTCAGTCTGCTGTGCTGCCTTCCCCAGAAACATCCCGCTCACTCACCCTAGTCTGAAGCTGCTCGTGGGTAGAGTGGGGAGAAGAACTGGGCTTGGTCATTGGGGGCATTTGTCTTAGCTCTCAGTGTTCAGCAGAAAGCTGTCCCCTCCTTCCTTCCCTCCAGTGTGCAAGGTGAGCGTTGGTCCTGCCTGCAAATCTTCAGGAGTCTGCAGAAGAGCTTAACCTGGAAGTCTAGAGGCGAAGACATTTAATGCTCTAAATTACTCAGGGCTCGTTAGAACAGTAAGCGTAGAGCCTTCCTCAGCATCTGCTGCTAAGGCCAAACTTTTACTAACGGGCACTACTTGATATCACCAACCTCTGAAGGGCAAATGCATATATAGCCAGGTAAATAAGGAAACTAAGGTCTGAAACACAAATCCCATCTGAGAGGCGTGTTGTGAGGTAATTTAACATCCTCTTAGGTGCTATCCTTTCTCTGAATCAAGTCATTAACACATAAATTATTGTGAATAAATGTGATTATTTTGCTTTGCTGGCTTTTGTACCTGTAGGATTTGCATGATAATCTGCCTTAGCAAACTTTTCAAGTTGATTGTAGTAATGTTTTTCCTGTCAGAAATGGATTAGGAGTAGATTATGAGTGCGTCCTGAAGAGATACTTCTTTCTGTTACTAACTCTTGAAAAGGTCCCCTATCTTTCTACTACAGTTTAGCTCATCTAATCTAGGTCTATCAAAATTGACTCAAAGATGCTGCTGTGGAAAGGCTGACTACATTGGCTGTTAATCTGTGTTGAATTTTTCCTGTGTGGGTGGAGTCCCTTAAAACCACTCCCAGTGTTTGGACAGATCGTGTCTGCATGTCCAGTATAGATGTCCAAAGAGTGGACGTGGAATTGGAATTGCTTTCCATCAGAGATAATCTATTAATTACAGTCTTAGATCATCAAGACTTAATCAGTCATCTATGCTGTCTGCCCAAAATTTAACTGCTGTGTTAATCCAAGTGTGACTTTTCATTGCCCTTCATTTGCACTAAGTGAATTTTGGTAGCTATTACTGTAAGAGTCTTCATACATTGCTAAATCCACTTTTATTATGTTCATGCTTAAAGTTTTCAGAATGACTTCCTTGGTTGACACGCCCCTGAATTATGAAGAGATGTTTGCTCATCGATTCACATCAGATGATAAAGAATACCAAGAATATCTGAAACGCCCTGCAGATCCCCCTCCTATAGTTGAAGAATGGAGAAACAGATCTGGTGGCAACCAGAGAAACAGGGATCGGTACTGATTTCTTTTTTTCGTGGGTTTTTTTTTTTTTTCATTAATCTCAGTACTTTCACAAATACACAGTTAAATGATCATTTATTTCAGAATAAAGATAGGAATTTGTTCTGGTAATAGAAGTATCTTCTTGTAACTTCATAGATAACTGTTTAAGAGACATGGCCTTCTCTGAAAAGTAATGAGGTTTTGCATTTTCTCTGTATTGATAGTCAAAGTTTTTGCATTGTGTATAAAAGTATTAAGTAATTTGTTTTGTAGTAAAGAATGAGCTAGAACCACTGAACCCATTGCCCTAGGGTTTGTTACTGCTCCGCCAAGAACATTTTTCTCAAGGGGAGAGACGGAAGTTGTGCAAAACTAAGCAGCCTATCTTCTGTTGGGTAATAACCGGCAGGAAAATATGCAAAGGAACAGGCTAATAATGTGATTATTTCTTGCAAGCTGTCCAGAAAAACATTTCATTTGTAACCTAAACATTTGCCTGCTTTGCCACAGGTTTCCGCCATGAAGCTACTAGATTGAACCTGGCTTTGATACAGCTACAGATGTATCTTCTGGTTGTTTTTTAGATATGTGGTCTGTTTGAGTCTCTATTCAAAGCTCCAGCAGTTCACCTAATGCCTGTAGATGCTTTGTGTTAGGAAACAGGCTTCCTTCCATCGTTTAGCAAGTAGTGTGTTTGGCAGTAGTAAGAAATTAATGAATGATCTCTGATGACTGTAGATATGTTTTCATCAGTTTGTCATAAAAGCAGATAAGTAATTGAATCTATAAACAGTTTTCATGAAAACTGTAAGATTTGGGAGTTCATTATCATTCACCTTTTTAAAAATCACAATTTGTGTGAATCTTTGACATTTCTTTTCATTGCAGGTTTCAAGACGGTAGATATTTTAGAGGGGACAGATACAACTGGCAAGGTGACTATAGATCTAATCAGAGGCCAGAAAGAAGCTGGGGTAATAACTACCAGCAGCACAGACAAGGACAATCATACTCCTCCCACTACGGACAGTATGGCTACAACTCCTACAGCCCGGGGCCTCGTTACCATCCCTACTGATTATACTTGTAGTTTGCAGGTCCAGTAATGCTATGTAACAAATTCAGTTAGACTTCAGCTTTCTTATTTTTCCACAGTTTTACAGATAACTAAAGAATCAGTATTACGATCCATTGCTGTTTATCTGTGCTGTGAATTGAAAAAGGGAGTACCTTTTATGAATAATAAAAGCATATTATGTGAGGTTTGTTTAGAGTCTGTAGATCTTAGATTACATTTCTGTCTCATTTTTTTGTCTGAATACATACTAGCACACTTTTCTTCCATCACTGAGATTTCTCTCTGTTACGTTTTAGAAGACAGAACGGGTCAGGGGAAAACAGCTGTGGTTTGTGTGCAGCCTGTAGCAGTGGCACATTGCCTTAAGATAGCTCTTTTTGAAAGTGACGTTCTGTGTCTTTGGAGAGAATTTTTTAGTTTGGCTTTTGAGAGTGAGAAAAGCTCAGTTTGGTTTGAATTTCAGATGCCTTAAAACTGAGAAGAGAGATGCTATTACGGAAGTATTTTACGGGGTCGGCACAGTGTCTGTTGACTCAATGGCTTCAGCTGATTTACAGTATTCCTCTTAAAACATGGTCTAAGAGTTTGAATAAAAATTAAGTAGTTTACGTATGTGTCTTCCGTTGTAGGAGTTCAGTAATATACAAGTTTCACCTGAGGAGTGATATCAGTATCATCTTAAAATAAATGTGGTATGTGCGTAACAAATTTTGGAATTCCTATTTCAGTAAAGCTGTAAAATTGTGATGATAATTGTAATTAGTTTGTATGAAATACTTTGTGCATGTAATAGAAGAAAAGAACCATGATCAGTACTGCTCTGTGCTTTTTTGCATGAGAAAACAACATCAGCCATGCAGAGTGTTCTTCAGTTCATAGAGTTTAAGTTCTGTTGTTTTTTTTAAGTATTCACAATAAAAGTATAGATCGCATGTAAGGATGTTTCTGAGTATTTCTGAAGCCTACTTTTGAAACTTTCAGCACTGCACCACTGTCAGCAGGCTGTCAGCTGCGCAGGCAGCAGTACTGACAGAGAAGTGTTAGTACGGGACAGCTGTTGGCAGAAGTTAGAAGAATGGCCTACTCAGCTACACTCAAGAGAATGAGACACATAGTTGATTAACACTCCAGACTTCTAATTAATCACTATCTTACATTCTACTATAATAGGGTCAAAGTTCTCTATTTCACTGTTTACATGATAAGCTAATTTGTATCAGGAGAGCAGTGCATTTCTTTGTACTTGGTATTTTCTTCAGCTGTTGTACAGAAACATGGAACCATCCACGCTGGCTGTTGTAAAAGTCATGACATTATGTGATAAGGAGTGCAAATTAGTCCATCTTCATTTAGAAACACAGAATAAACACAGAATTCAAAAGCACAGTCTCCCAGCTTGTAAGATGCTTTTAAGAGCTAAAGAGCATGTTTACTGTTGATCTCAGAAACACAGGCTCTGTGTGGCTTTTATGGAGTCTGACACAGGAGCCGTGACAGAAGTGTCTCCACCTACCTGCTAAGAATTTCTGCTCTCTGCTTCTCATGTAGTATTTATTAACTGTGTCGCAGGTTTTAATATCCCACTCCCGGAAGTATTTGCCTTGGTTTCAGTTGGGTAACCTTAGAAATCTTCTAGTGAGAGGTTTGTTTCTTCTTAAGGAGTTCTACTGGATGAAATGCACCCTTTTTAACCACCATTGACATGGTGGAGCTGTTACACTGGGGGCTACAGGATCACGCAGAGTTCTTATCTGTGCCCTGGGAAGAGCCTGCAAGTTGGCATGGTGGAATTCCCTTGCAATGCAGAATCACGTGCCAAGTGCCAGATACTCCAGCCTCCCACCTCCAGGAAGGGAGCGCATCTCTTCCTGCAAGGAGCCCGACGCTGCCAGCTATGCCACGGAAGTCAGGCTGTGCCAGGGTCTTCTCCTTCCTGACCATCTGCGGTAGCATCTTGGGCTGGAATAAAACCTGGCAAAAGGAACGGATCCTGCCTCAGCTGGTGCCTTTCCTCAAGCCCCATCACTGCCTTATTTTTAGTGTTTTTCAGCTAGTGAATAAAAAACCTACCACAGTGTGACCAAGCTGCAGAAGCAGATTGACTAGGATGGCCGAGGTGGAAGTTATGGCTTGGAATCACACATGTCATGACCTCAGCACTCTTACGCCGAGTTTCTTGACTGTGGTGCCAGGAGAGACACAGGCGAGTGCAGCTTCCTGGTTTCTGTCTTGACATTCGTGACTCCATCCGGCTCACCGTTAATTGCTCTCAGTTCAACTTTAAGGACCTGTATGATTTACAAACCTTTCCATGGAACAATTATGGCAAGAACTTAATTTTCTTGGGGGAATACATTTCTAAATACATGCATGCCTTGCACGGGACAGAAAGGTAAACAGAATTCAATATATGTTCCCTCCAGCAGTTTCTACTTAGATGAATTAGTATGTATGATTAAGTCCAGTTTATCATTTCTGTCAAGCTAAATAAAACCAGTAAGTAGTGCCTGCAATTATGGTTTGCGCATTATAGCGTGTTTGAGATGACAAAACTGAAGCAGAGTAACTTTAACATTTGCAACTTCCAACACTACAGAAATTGTTTGCTTTAACTATGCTGGAGATTGCAGGGTAAACATTAAAATTCAGCATCGGGAATCTGACTTTAAGAAATCTCTTCCATCTGACATTTGCTCAGACATCATTATTATCATGAATAAAACAAAAGACCGATAAGTGTTCTGTATTAAAAAATGACTGCCACATTACCGAGAGCTTGAATACCCCAGGAGTTCTGAGCACGGCTGTTGCAGGAGTTCTAAATCCTGAACACATACAGCAGTTTTGTATGGGCTGTTAATTGATACTGAAGAATTACAATGCTAAATTACAGGTGCTATGCCCAACAACTAAGAAAACTCGGTAGCTTTTATACAATTTCTTCACTAGCATTTTAAAAAATGCTAACAGCTTTCAAATCATAGCTAAGCTGCTAGGTACTTGAAGGCAAAAGAAAGTGCATAGGAAAAAAACCAAACCTTACTGTGATCTGTGAGATACAATTTTACAAGCGTTCACTGCTATTCAGCCTCTATTTTGCCTAACTGCAGCTGCAAACAGAAGTGTGTCGACGTGCTTCGCAGGGTTAGAAGCTGAGCTACTTTTAAGAGGCTCTCTAGTAGAGAATTCAGACAGGGAAAACAAGTGTCACTTCTGAGATACAGATAATCAACATTCAACTTCTAGAACAAAAAATATATTTAATCTCCTACTGTTTAAATATATTTGAATATATTTAAACTCATACTATTAATTTGGTAATAAATATTCTGCTTAACCAAGAAACGTTCATATTTGCCTCTTATACTTCTTATACTGAGATGTTGGAAGGAAAATGCTTTTTGTATGAAATTTAAGCTAAGGTTTTGCCTGCCACCACCACTATTCCTTGGGGGGAGGGGAATCTCTGAATTTCACAACTCTGGGTGAATTCTGTTAGCTGGTCCAACTGATGCAGTCACACCTTCTCCACCTCTGACAAACAGGAGGGGGTAGGAACAAGGAGCAAGCAGGAACGGGGAACAGGACTGCTCCTTATAGCAGCTACTGACCCCCTTAGGAGCAATTTAATGGAACAGCACCTCCCTTGCCTTTCATTTGCCAGTCAGGAAAAATTACTATAATCTGTCCCCTTGTCCCTGTATGTTAGAAGAGAGCTACGTAACCCTGCTTAAATTATGCATGGTGCTGATATGCTAATGACCAGAAGCTAAGCAAGATCACAGGGCCGATCGGGTTTCCCTGAAATTAAGTACCTAGGAAACATGCAGCCTGATTCGAGACACGCGGAGGTAAATCCTAGGGATCACAGCAGAGTCCAGCGGCTCCAGCGCTGCCAGGAGAGTGGATGGCGACTGAACTACGGTGGTGCACAATGATCTTGCCTCTCAAGAGGATTATTTTTTCATTAGGCCCCACGGGCTGGCATTTATTTTTGTGTTTACCACAGCCTATATTTTTCTTCAGTAAAGGATGGACTGCACTTGGTGGTTGTCAGTCCTCACTTGCTTATGTGAAACAGTGATGCCAAAGTGTTACTTCTATACAGCTCAGCCCCTGACTTTCCAAGTACTCTGTCCTGTTAAAACGCAAATTTATTACGAGAGATGGTGCAAGTTGATAATAACTATATTTTCCTTTAAGTCTAATCAACACAGAACAGGATAAATCATATCATCATCATCCCCAATGGTTACCTCGTGTGTTACCTGTGACCAGCAGGAACACAAACAAATGTTGTCTTCTTCCTAACACAGAGATGCTTTTTTTTTTCAAATAATACTTCAGCAGCTAGATCACTTTTTTCAACAAGTATGGCAAGTATGGGATGCCTTTATTTTTTTTTTGCATATTGTGTAATTCAAACTGCTTCACTAATAAAAGTTGCAGCAGTAACAAGTATCAAAGCTGCTCCTGCTCATTGTTTGAAAAAAACAAACAACCTTACCTATTAAAAAGATGAGTTGAAGAAAACAGCTTAGTTATGTGTTATAGAACTACAAAAATAACCAAGGCCCCACCTTGTCCACAAAAAAAAAATCTTCCAGGATTCAAGCACAATCTTCAAACTGAAACATGTTACATGTTAAAAAAATGATTAAGACACTAAGCTTTTGCAAAACTTTTATTCAATGTGAGGAAAGACAATTTGGTATTTATATACCCACATAAATGAAATACTTAAGATTATAATTAGTACTGTTGAAATAAAGATTAAAAAACCAACCATACTGTAAGAAGTTTCACATAGGTGTTGGCCACCATGCCCAAAGTCAGATCTGAATTTTTTTCTGAAGAAATGCTTGAAATGATACATTTTCTACTGAAAATGTGCTCAAGAAGAGTAAAGTAACAGTAGTAACTGCCAAGTGCAACCAGCCTCAAAAGCTTACACTTTTTTTTACAAAATAAAAACTAATTTTTCCATAGCAAAGGCCTGGTTTTTAAGTTTTACTGTTCCAAAGTCATCAAGTCATCTTGATTTATGAATGCCACTGAGACTTAAACCAAAGTACATTGAAGAACGGTGCTTTGGTGGTTTTAACAGTACGAACATTTAAACACAGCATAGGAAACCTCTGGAGTTTCGATCAGGTTAGTGCATGAGCTCTGGGTGGACACATCTTCTTCTCACAGCAAGCTGATGTTACTGGTTTATAAGCCACGTGCTTGAAACGCCCGCTCTGAAGGGAGCTGATGGAGCATCAAGCTTGGGGGTACGCACGCCCTCCTCTAAATCTCAGCTACAGCCAAACTGCTACAAGAAGGTAAAGGAGCTTCACGTTAAATTGCCAACACTGGCAAATCCTATTTCCCCAACTCTGAAGCTGGGAGGATACTCCCATCAGCAGAATTACGTTTTTAGTGGTTCTAAGGTATGACAGGAGCAGGAGGGTACGTTGTACAGCCCAGGCAATGGCAACAAGGAGCACAGCTGAGC